TCTCTCTCTCTCTCTCTCTCTCTCTCTCTCTCTCTCTCTCTCCCCCCACCTTCATATCCTTTTTGTTTAAGGTATAAAGAGAAACCACAGCCCCTACCTTTGAGTACAAACCCCAAGACAGCTCGGTCTCTATCACCATAACAACAATTCCAAACATCCCAAAAATCAGAGCATAGTCACTGAGCCGCTTTCTCTTTTCAAACAGGGCCCTCCTGTGTCCCAGCTTATAGCCAATGTTTTGGTTTTTCCGCTTGTTGGCTTTGGGGAAGGTGGTGCTGCTGGCAGTGGTGCCGGCATGCTGGTGGTTGTGGGTGGCATTGGGGTGATGGAGCAAGGTCTGGTGGGCATGGTTGTCCTCCCTGGAGGAGATGACGATCTCCGGGGGGTTGCTGGGACTGAAGAGCTGGAGGGGTTGGCCCTCAGGCTCAGCCTCGATGAGGTTCCTCCGAGAGGCGCTGAGGCGGCTGAGGGGCTTCATGACCCCACCGCTGTACTTGCACGAGCTCATGGCGATCTCCGTGAAGGGGTTGCTGTCCCGCCGGTGCACCAGGGGGCTGGCCTGCCGGTGCCGGCTGCCTCCACCAGGCCCACTTGTGGCTGTGGAACTTGGAGAGTGGCCAAGCAAGTGGTCATTGAGATTGAGCTGGCTGCCTTGCCTGGAGGAAGGGTGGAGGATGGCGGTGGAGTTGGCCGAAGGGGGGCCCCTGAACGCGGTGGGAGAGGAGTGTAGCAAGCCGGGGTGGACAAGCTGGCTCTGGAGTTGGGCGAGCTGAGACAGGGGATGCGGTGACTGCGGTGGCTGCTGGAGCTGTGGAGGCTGAGGCTGCAGCGGGGGTCCTGGGGGCTGCTGGGGGGCTGCTGGGGGCGCTGGCGGTGGTGGCGGTTGCTGTTGCTGCGGCTGTTGCTGCTGCTCATCCCCAGAGGATGGACAGGGGCACTTGGGGTCTTCATCCAGGTCCCCCACCCCAGAGTCATGGAAGTGCCCAGAAGTGTCCATCTTGGGGCCTGGCTGGATTCCCTGCAGCACGATCCCCCACCCCAAAGCCACCCTCGCTCCAAAGATGTCCTCAAAGAAAGCCAGGCATCCGAGCTCCCCCAGCAGTGTCTTGGCTCCAGTCCTCTCCCTCTGGCTGGCTTCGGCTCTCTGGGGCTCCCCGGAGTCCAGACGCTGCCACTCAAGCATGCATTGTGGTGGGCAGGGAGGGAGGGCAGGAGGGGATCCTGAGAAAGGAGAGGGGAAGGAACTCTGTCCCAGGAGGGGGTCCTCCAGGAGCGTGTGAGGCCAAGCTCTGCTTCACTCCTCGCTGGCTCTAGAGCTCCGCTCTCCTCCTCCTGCCACTGTTATATTGGAAGCCAAGCCCACTTATTAGCTGCGGTGCCATTGGCTTGGCTTCACTCTCCCACCGCCTCCGACTCCGCCCCACAGCCGGGCTCCTCCCTGGGGCGGGGCCTGCCGTCCTCCGGGCCCGGTGAAGGCTGGGAGCTGTAGTTTCTGCTCCACGACCCCGGCGCAGAGCCGCTGCCCTGTCAGGTATGGTACGGCTGAAACCTGCACAGCCACGGCGATCGGGGGCGTGTCCACGTGGGGCGATGGGACGGAGGGGCAGGGGCTCCTGTGGAAGGCAACTGTTGCAGCGATGAGGGGACTGGGGAAGGGACACACATGTATTAATGGCCCAGGGCTAGGTCAGGTTATTTCACATACCTCCCAGGTAGATCCTTCCAATGCCCAAAGAGCCGGGCTTTAGGTGGTCCCCATTTTACAATGGCGGAAATATGTTCAGAGCTGTTGAGTGACAATGTCAAGGTCATAGAAAGCAGAGGTGACAACCCCTCCTGAGGGTGGGTGAACTCACACTACCACTGACCCAGGGCCAACAATGTGTGTGCGGGAGCCTGTTATTCCCAGCCCTCACGTCCTCTCTAGAAAATGATGTCATCACTCTCCTTTCACAAATGAAAACTGTTTTTAAAAAAGAAAGAAGTGAAAAGGGAGGGAGGGAGGGAGAGAGGGTGGAAGGAAGGAAGGAGGAAAGGCAAAAAGGCAAAAAAAAAAAAAAAATACAAGCACAAACTTTTGCCAGATGTTACCCAGCTTGTAATTAAAGGTGCTAGGGTTTGAATTTATGTCAGTCTGACCCCACATTCTGTACCCCAGAATGCTTTTCCCCTGTGACACTCAGTACAAAGTGTCAAATAAATATTGTTCAAATGATGGATGAAACCTCTGGGGAGACTCTGTCAAGGAAGAGCCGACTTCCCCAAAGCAGGCTATGTGAGGTGGACCAAGGCTCCAGCCTCACCCCTGCCAGCTGTGTGTGGACTCACCCACCGGAGGGTCTGGCAGGAAGACTGCAGACCCCTCATGGTGGCTCCCTGCCTGGTTTGCCCCATAGAGCTCTGAGCGTCAGGGCTGGGAACAGCTGCTGGCTTCCCAGGTTCAGAATCATCATCATCAAGTATTTATTAAGCTCCCATTGTGTGCAGAGGGAGTTCCAAAGGGATGGAACCAGAGATGAATGTATTTCCATTAACTGCAACTGCCTTAGGGACCAGAGAGGAAGACTCCGTGGTGGAATTCCCAGGCATACGTTGGGGGTTAAGAAGGAAGTATCTTCCTATCTGCTTCCTAATTCCCCATAACCTTTTGGTTTCTCTCCTTCACTAGATAAGAGGGAGAAGAGGAGATCCAGGCACACACACACACACACACACACACACACACACACACACACACAAACACACAGGCTTAGGTGTCCTGCAAGCCTTCAGTCTCATGTGTTTTCCCATGGCCCTCCAAGCCCTCCAGTACCCCGCCTCACCCCCTTCAGCGTGCCCCACCTGTCCCCTTTCCACCTCTCTTCTTCTTTTTTTTTTTTGGTACCAGGAATCGAACTCAGGACCTTGCACTTGCCAGGCAGGCGCTTGTGCCGCTGAGCTAAATCCCCAGCCCTCCACCTATCTTCTTGATTTCCCTTCCTCTCTTCCATTCCCAAACCAAGCCACCTGTTTACTTCAATATTCCAAATCACATATTAAGGTTTACTGATTGCCAAATAAATTACCATTAATATATGGCTAGTGGCAGAAATGTACTGTCGGTACTGGTTTTTAGGGCTGGACACAGCTTCCAGGCTGTAAAAAATCAATTTGGGGTACACGCTCCAGGCCTGGGCATTTCTGTGCCCTATGGGCTGCCTTCTGCCTCAGCTGACCCTTCTGGGCCAGGCTCCTGGCTCCAGTTCTCCTGTGCCAGTGGGGTCCTGGAAGAGCTGCCCCACCATCATGGACAGGGACGAGAATCAGCCTGCATGGGCCAGAGAACTCCAGAGATCAGAGATTCATCTGGGAATGGGACTTGGCAGCTGGTGCCACTGAGGCAAGTCCTGCCCTGGTTACAACTACCCTGTCCTGAATAGAGGCAGACAGCAGCCAGGTGAGGGTGCCGGCGCTGGAGTCAGTCTTCCCAGGCTGGAGCCCTTCACCCTCCTCTGCCAGAGGATGGCCGGGTGGCCATAGGCAAGATGGTCTCCTGAGCCTCATCTTGCTACTCTGTAAAATGGAAGTAGTAAGGGTTTGGGGGAAGACTAGATGCAAGTCACATGAAGGACCTGTCCCATGTCACCGTATGTGACAGTCCAGAGCCCCCTGTGATATACTGCAGCTGGCCAGTACTGGCTCTTTAGAGACACCCATGCACATCTCTTCCCAGCTCCACATTCAGCAGTGTCACTCTGATAGCTTGAATTCAGTCAAACAGAGTAGTCCACCACAGGAATCAGCAAACACATAAATCAGGGCTTACTTCTTCCTGCGGAGTGGCTGTTGAGGTTTTACTGGCTGTTAAACATCTACTAGCACATTTAGGTTCAATGACCCTCTCTGCCAATCATTGCCTCCACTCAGACTGCACACTGCACCCTCTTCCAGAGACAATCCAGGCCTGTTCGCCTCCTGTCCCCCAGCAAAGCTGTACGCCTGGCCTACTGTGTGACCTTGGGTCAATTGCTTAGCCTCTCGGGCCTTCTAATTGATCAGGGCCAACCAGCTAGCCCAGGTAAAGTACTTTGTACACTCCGGTGCTTGTAGATTGGTGACTGCAAGGAGCCCACAGGAGTATGGGCGCTGTGCAGCTACAGGGCCTGAGCATGTCAGACTTTCCACCCTGCCCCACCCTGCACTGCTCTGCACCCAGACATCTCACCACCACTGCTGCAGGTCGGGAAGCACCCAGGGCTTCCTCCAGCCCCAACTGTGTCTTCCCAACAACCTCTGAGTTGAGACCATTGTTCACTTTGTAAATGAGGAAGAAGCCATTAGACAGGTCTTAAAACTTGTCCACAGTTACTAAGAAGTAGCCAGTGGCACAGCTGGGGTCAAACCCAGATCTGTCAGCGCCAAAGCTCAAGCTCTTGCTGTGTCCTGAAACCCAAATCCATAGGAGTCAGTCCTATTTGTGTGTATTAAACATTACCGTGCGACTCCCACAGCCAATCCTCAGGAGCTTCCTTCTCACACTAGAGACAAATTAGGTCCACCTGGGGTGGAAAGGAGCAACAGTGCAGACCCCAATATGGGACAGAGACACTAGAGTTCACGGAGGGCAGAAGGCAGTCCAGGGAGGCTTCGCAGAGGAGGCAGGACCTGAGCCACACCTGAAGTGGAAGGCGGACACAGTAGGCCTCTCTAGTCTGCATATGGAGGGCAAAGGGGATGGGAGAGAGTCCAAGGAGAATAAGCGAGGACACGTACACTGAACCGTGGAAAGAAGGAGCAGCCTTCGGCCACACCAGCTCTTCCACCTCAGGGGTGCTGGGGCTCAGTCCCTGCCCTCCCTCCACCCTCACTCCTTGCCATCTCTTGCTTTAAGCCCCAGCGTCACTTGGTTTCCCCCTGAACCATACTGTTTCACACGTCCATGCCTCTGCCTGCCACGCCCTGCCCCTGCAGTCCTCTTCGTCCTTCCGGACATGCCTCAAAGGTCTGCTCTGCAGAGGCCTCCCCCGGGTGCCCCACATCTGAGCTGGGGCCTTCTCCTGCCTTTTCAGTGCCCTGTGCTAACACCTGATAAGCTGTACAGTCCTCATCTCAATGTGTATCTTTACCTCAGACTGTGACATCCTTGAGGGCAGGAATGATGCCTGCTTTTCCCTGTATCTGCAGCTCTTCCATAGAGCCGGGCTCACAGCTGGCACTTGACAGAAATTAACTGCATCAACTGAACTTGAAAATGGGGACAGGTCAATCAGAGGCAAATAAGAAGTCCTGGCACTTTCACAACAAATAACAAGCATTATTTCCCTGTCACCAACATGGGTGAGTAGGAGAAATGAGTTCTAAGATCACTCAGCTTTAAAATTCCATAATCTTTGGTCTATAGAACTTGCCCCTAAAATGTAGAACTGGCTGAAACTAGGTTGAGGAAAGTAATGACTCAGGTTTATATGGCTGTCTCCTCCATAGGCTCATATTCCTTGAGAGCAGAAGAGGTCCAATTTTTTCCACATCCCCAGCACTGAGCAGGACACCTGGCCATGGATCTATTCATTAAAGGTTTATCAGATGGATGGGTGAATGGATGAGTGATGGACGGATAGGGATGGATGGATGAGGGATGGATAGGTAAATGATGGATGGATAGATGGATGGATAGATGGGGGATGGATGGATAGATGATGAATGGATGATGGAGGGATAGTAGACATATAATAATGGCTTTTCCCGAAAAGCCAGTGGTTTGAGGGCTAGCCCTCGTATTTTAGGGATAGTGTTATAAAGATCAACCACACTCTTCCCCAGACCCTGGATGTCCACCCAGATTCCAATTAGTATTGTGTTCGTATCTAGGAGCTTTGTTGCTGTTCTAATAATAAAAACAATTGTGTTTGCATAGTACTTTATTGTTTTCCGATTGCTTTCATAGAAATTACTACATTTGCACCTCCTGACAGCCTTGGAATCCAGGCTGGGGGGTTCCATTGCTCTCACCCCCATAAACTAAAGTTTAGAAAGGTTTATGCAGCTGCTCATGGTCACCAGACAACCAGGATTTGAAGGCTCTTCATCCACCCACCCGCACAGTGCATCTACTCGTCCTAGGACTTGAGCAACAGTAAAAGCCCTGCCCTGGTCCCAAACTTCCGGGACCTTTCTCTGCCATGCTCTCCCTCAATTCCACACCACCTCCTGCTTCTGTGTTCCCTTAGTGTTTTATTTCTATCTCTCTAGGGACACTTCCCCTTTCTTTCCTTGTATTGATATTGTCTATACATGTGTCTTCCCTCTCCTATTTTTAATT